TGAATATTCCAAAATGTCCAACGCATTTCTAAGATTGTCCTTTAACTGCCTTTTAGGTAAAAACCCACATTGTTCCTCGTGAATAAATTCTTGCAAAATTATTTTCAATGTATCAACTAAAATGGTTGTGAACATCCTCAAAACAGTTTGTCGAGTCGGAGAGAGTTGGGTGGCATACAAGTTTAATATATCATTATTACGATGATGATGATGATGATGATGATGATGATGATGATGATGATGATGGAAGTAATTCATGGAGAAACAGAGAACAATAGACAACTAATGTACACAAGTGGTATTTATTATTTAATATTTATTGGACTCATAATTATGCATACTATCACATTGTATAGAAATAACTTCTTTAACATCAAATATTATAACTTGTACATTTTAATCAATTTTAAAAACTCTAAAAAGCCTCCAGTAAATTCTTTCCAAAAGAAAACCAAGCCTAGACTAGCACTGTGTCCCTGGCAATTCTTAAAACTTGAAGAGTGTAGAATAAGTGTAACAACATGTTAAATTTCTTTCACTAATTGAAAATGCTTAAAAAAGACATTGAGTGAGAATTTATTGATGCAAAGAGCTAACTCCAAGAACAACCACTGATTTTTTGGATTTGCTATAGTTCCCCAATTGGGTTCCCCATTTTTTGTCTACAGTTCACATAATTTATTTCTGTGTGGCAATGGATCCTAAGTGAACAAACTGTATGTAAAGTGTTTGAGGTTGTATGTAAATATTGAAGAACATACAATTTTGCTGTACACATTTAATTAGAAATATTTTGTTAGAGTCCAAACAATCAGCTCATTAATCCAGACAGGAAATTAGTATTTGGTATCATCACTTTAGGCCGATGGTGCCAAACCAACCCTGTTATTTCCGATGTCAAAAATAGAGTAATACTCTTTAAGGAAGACATCGCCCAAGATCCACAGAGGCTGCCCATTTGAGGAAGACACATATGTTGGCTCGATTGCAAGTGCACAGTAGCCATTGTCCTGTAAAAGACGGAGAAACAAATTGCTTCAGATTGTGCCCCTACTGCAGACAACAAAGAACATCGATCATATTTTAAGGCAAGCTGGATTTGGATGGTGATTAGATTACATGATGTAAAAACAATTGCTCACTCGAGTTCTCATCACTATTATGTAATTGTGTAAGAGTATAGTTTTCTATGGCTTGCTTGCAAGGACATGCTATTGGTATGAAATCCATCTTATATGAGCTTCAATATGTGGCTGATTCTTCAAGAGCAGCCATCTGTGTCTTCTGCAAGTATTTTGACAGAATTACAGAAGATGGATTACAGATTTGATCGCTCAAATTGAGGGACATATCTTCTGTATGTCTCTTAAATGGAAACCTATTGTTTATATAGAATAGCATGAGCATAATGCTATTTCCACAGTCTCAAGATGTTATCACTGAGATATGGAAAATCAATTCATCTTAAAATGAATTGGTTTCAATTACACTGGAGAATTTCGAGAAGTGGTAGAGCATACTTACATTGGAGACATAAGCAGAAGGAGGTAGTGGGAACTGAGATCCATTAATGTAAAAGATAATGGTAGG